TTCTGGATCATGTATAGTAAGTCGAGGTACCAACTGGACCAAGGTGCAATAGTCTCGTTTCTTTAGGAAAACTGAGACTACTACATAAGTAGTCAATCCAGAGGAGCAGGCAGGGTAGGTTCCCTCTGGTTCTGTAGCATAAATGTATTGTGAGGAAATTACGACAGTTTGGTTACATATTGGAATTAATGAGGAGGGAGGAGTCATATGAGAGCCAAGAAGACAAAGACCCAGTCCTGAGACTTGGCCGATGGTCAGACCTTGTTCTGTGGGGGAAGGAGGGCTCCATCTTAACCGGCTGATATCATTAGTAAAGGAAACATTATCAAAAACAGCAATCCCTTCGTAAAAGGGGGACCTGGGGAAAAGCAAATCCAGCATTCTTGTAGATCTGTATGATTGGTCAGATGGACGGTATGAACAGTCGAGTTGGCTATGCAAGAGTCAACTCTGAAGAGGAGGGAGGTCCAGGGGGTGAGGTGGGTTGAAAGGGTCCTGTGACCTCTACGGGGGAAGAGGAAGGTTTGGCAGAGGGTCTAACAGGAGGCCCACGAGGGACATTTCCCTTCTGGTGTAATTTAGGATTGGGGCCAATGGCTGTTTTAGGGCCTGAGGGAAGAGATTTTTGTAGCTGTATTTTAAAAGTAAGGCCTATATCTTTTCCTGAAATATATAGGCGAAGACCCCATTGAGCCCCTCGAGCTGGCCAATTTTGTGGTTGTTTTCCCACATCGGTGAAAGAGATCAACAAAGGATTACACCAGCGACTAGAGCATTGTTGATTATAGGGGACAGGTCCCGAATTTAACTCATAAGAAGGGGGATTTGGGCGCTTAACCGTTATAAGGTCCCAACTAGAGGAGGGTTTCCAATAAGTGTCCCCAGTGGTCTCACATCCCCAGGCAGCGCAAAAGTAATCTTGTTCAAAGCCACATTTGTCCTCTATAGATCGGTCTCGATGGGATCCGGGGCAGACGTATACAGGCACCATGGTAAGATAAGTCCTGGCCTGCCCATTAAAACATCCCGGTAGGGAAGTAGATCTAGTATCTGTATTAATGGGCTTGGATTGGGGCAAGTAATAGCTAGGCGTTCCCCACCTGGCTTCAGAAGCCCCCATAGCCAGGGCACAGAGATCAACAACTAAGGGATCAAAAGAGGGTTGGGGCCCAACATGTGAGGAGGTGTTGGCTACATCTCCGGCTTCATTGAAGATGATCCATGTATAGTTGTAGATTCGATACTGGTTAGAGATGGCAGGAACTCCCAGGGACAGCAGGCTGCAGGCGGTCCAGAGAAACAGCATCTTTGTATCTGGAATTTAAACACAATTGGAATTTTTCTCAGGGTTTCCCCTGGGTGGGGTATATAATATTTACAGGCGCTCAGGCAGCCATCTGGCATTATTGGCCTGATTATCAAATATGCAGGCATGTCCTTTTCCCCAAATAAGCACTGGATCCGGTCCATGCCATTGGTTGGTAAACAGATCTTTCCATAATGCCTGCGTATAATCTTACGCAGCTGTGGTTGGATGCCAAAGGCGATCAGCAACTAACTTTCCAAATTTATCATAGGTAAGGAAATTAAGCACAAACAAGGCATGGTTTAGCAGACTTTTTAGGATTATTTTTAGTGGGGTACAATTTTCCTCCCCCAGAATACAGTTTATAGAGTGTATTTTTAAGTGCCTGGTGTGCTCTTTCGACAATTCCTTGACCTTGGGGATTATAAGGAATGCTAGCTATATGTTTTATTTGTAACTGAGCACAGAACTGTTTAAAAGCTTGACTGGTACATCCTGGGCCATTATGGTCTTTACAATTCTAGCTGGAGGCAAAACGGTTAGGCAGGCAAGTCCATGGCTCACAACATTTTTCGTAGCTTCTCCTGACTGAGTTGTTGCAAAGAAAAAGCCACTATTGGTATCTATCAGTTTTAGATCTACAATCTTTAAGCCTTTTTCCATCAAGGACAAACAGTCTTGGGTAAGTTTGGTGTTGGGCTTCCTTGGCCATTTTGGGGGGGGTGGTCATAGAGGGCAAGGTGGATCCTTGCGGACACTGTTTAGCAAAATGGCCAGGCAGATGGCATTTAAAACAAGCTCGGCTGTCGGCAGGCGTTTGAAAAGCGGCTCCAGTGGCCATGGCAACCCCCTGAGAGATCCCTTGAGAGAGCTTATAAGAGAAGGGATCAACTTCATTACAAGCCGGAATCATCTCTTCTAAGGACTTATTTTTAAAGGAACTCCTAAGCACCCAGCGGCAGGTGGCATTGGCATTTTCATAAGCAAGTTGTTTAAGGAGCTTGTTATCCGTTTCCTCAGATCCCAGGACCCGTTCAGCTGCCTCGGTGAGCCTGCCTATAAATTCTGGGTAGGGTTCATTGGGACCCTGTACTATTTTTGTAAGGGGAGTAAGGAAAGTTCCTCGCCCCAGAGGGACCGCCAAGTGCCCATAGCTGCCTGAGATGTTTGCCCCAAAAGGCCAATAGGGAGTTTGGTCTGAAGGGTTTCTGTTAATTTTTCAAAGGTCCATTTTTTAGTAGATTCTGGAGAGTGATTTTTTGTGGCAAGTTCCCTACAGCGATCATAAAAATCTGCCTTCCAGGCCAAATGAAGGCCCCGGCTAAGGACAGCTTGTGTGACGGAATGCCACTAGGAGGGAGTAAGGCATCCACCTCCAGCAAGGGCATCCAAGAATGTAAGCAAGAATGTTAGCGCATAGGAGTCAGGAGCACTACAGTTTCTAACTGCTGAATTTAATTCCTTGATGGGTTTACATTTTAACATCTTGAAAGAATTATGGGTGGGATCCTGTTCGATACGTTCCTCAGTTTCCGATTCTTCCCCTTCTGTTTTATTATTTTCCTCATCCGAGGCATCTTCTTCCTTCTCCTCAGTATAGGAGGAGGAGGGCTCCTGGGCTTTTTTAGAGCTTTGTGGAGTAAGAACAGGGAAAGCCAATTTAGGAGGTTTTGAGGTCTTAAATTTATGATTGGACCTTCCCTCTGATTGTATAGGAAATAACATAGGGACACCGAATACAGATTGTCCCACAGTTTTTTGAAGTAAAGCTAAATCACAAGTAAGTTGAGAAAATTCTTGTTGTAATTGTAGCACCTCTTTGAGATTAGATATTTGTTGGATAAGATGTTTTTTAGCCGGAATTAAAGCCTCTGCTGTGTCAGAAGGGGGTGGAATAGGACCGATGGATATGGTGGAGGCCCTTTAGGGATGGATATGGTGGAGGCCCTTTAGGGGCGGTATAGCCCGTGAATGGCCAGTCAGGGTTATGATAAGCAGCCCCAGCCTCCAATTCCTCTCAGTCGGAGGGATCCAATGGCTCTGAGGCCACATTGCCCTGGGGGGGGGCAGGAAAAGCTTTAAGGCTGGGCCGTTTAGGGGGATCAAACTCTCACAAGGATGGATAAAGGGGGCAGAGGGTTCGGGCTCTTTTAAGGGCATAGGAATTGACACGGAGGGGCACGGAGAGGGAGCCTTTTAAAGGGGCTCCATTTGATTAGGAGTCTGCGAGCGGGGACAGGGGTTTTAAGAATTCCTCAATGGCAGAAGTTAATTAAATGAGCTGACCCAGGGGAGTTAGTAAGGATGTCGTTAATGACATTCCAATAGTTAAAAGTCTGCAATGGAATAGACTCAGGGCCCTGTTCTTTAAGTAGTCTATTAAGATCCTCACCCACCTTTTGCCATGTCAGGGGGTATCTGGTCCTTCGAGAATAACCCAGGGACAAATTTTGAAAAGAAAGCAAAGAAACTTATTAACTCTTTACATGAAACTCTAATTCCTCTTTCCCGAAAGTAATGAACTTAACCTCCTTAGACAAACGTTGGCCCATTATTATGGAACGGAACAAGGGGGGGTGGGGGACTCACCAGGAATCGGCGTGCTCAAGAGCGGTGAGGACTGATTCCAAATCGCCGGGCTGCAGTTTGCAGGTCAGGCAGTCAAATCGGTGCGAGGATTCTCTTCAGGGTTGAGGGACTCCGTTCAGTAAAAGCCCATACCTGGAGCGCCACGTTGGGTGCCACCTGCCCCGTCCTGCGGGACCAAGTTATTCGGGTGGACAAGAACCTGAAAAATAATGGGCGGGAAAGAAGGAAGGAGACCAAGCAGTGCTTGTCAAGGCCTCGCTTTATTAGGCACAAAGAGGGGTTTTTAAGGCAAAGCGGGGAGGAAGTGGGGGAGGGGGAGCTGTGCAGACTCGGGCGGGGCTCTGGCAGTCCGTCCAGACCACTGTGGTCTTACTTGGAAAACATCTGCTTATCTCAGTTCCTGGAGTAAGTGGAGCAGACTGCCCTTTGAGCTCACTAGAGTTTAAGGCATAAACAACTTTGCAAGGGGATGTGACTCAAGGAACTACGGAGGTATTTTCTCAGTTGGGGGTCCCCCCCTGCAGTCACTGTGTCAAATTGACACAGAACTAGCCAGCACCAGGTGTATGTGAATTTGGTAACTGAGCAAAAGGCTACTTTCCATCCTTTTGTTTTCGTTCTTCAGCCCTTTTAGCTGGACGTTTCTCCTTCAGTGTTACTGTTCTACATGCACTCAACACTCAAACGTCTGAGAAAACGTCTCTACGCATCCAGCGCTGCGGATGTTGTCTGGGTATACTTTTGAGAGGTGGGGAGGGTGTAGTTTTAGAAAAAAGGTGTTCCGGGGATGGGTCCCTTGACAAAGTATGTGACTGAATACGAAAATGCACGCGCTTGTAAGGCAACTCCTTCCACAGGGAAGGCTTGCGGTAGCGGCGGAACGTTCTGGGCGGAACTGAACGCTGATCCCCGCCGCGGAAGCTGGCCGGGATGCAGCATTAAGACCGGACCTCCGCGCAGGGGCGGATCCTTGTAGGTCTCCGCCCTTTCCGCCCCCTTCTAGTTTCCATGGCAACCACGCGAACCCCAGTGGGCTGGCCGCGGGAAGGGTGCGTTCAGGGGCGGGGCTTGCAGCGGAAGCGGCGTCCGCACGCTCGCTCGGTGCGGGGCGGCTGCAGAGATGCTGCGCGCGGGGTGGTTGCGGCTGTGTGCCGCGCTCTGCAGCCTCCTGCTGGGGCAGGCCCAGGCCCCGAGCCCCGGGGCGCCGCCGGAGCGCAGCCGGCCCTACGCGGTGCTGCGTGGGCAGAACCTGGGTGAGCGCGGCGGGGCGCGGCGCGGCGCGGCGGGGCGGGCGGGTTCGCAGCCTGGGCGGTACTCGGAGCCTGTCGGGGGCTCGGGGAGCTGCCCTCGCGCTGGTCCCCACGCAGCCGGTTTCCCTGCTGTCAGCCCCAGGCTTGGGAGCCAGCGCTCGTTCCCTGTGCGCTGGCGGCACCTGCTGGGGCTGGGACGCCGGGGACCTGGGTTTGTGCTCTCGTGTCCGGCTCTGTGGATTCAGGCTGGGCAGCAGGGCTCATGCCGCTTTGCGTGCATCCCTCTTCCTGCCAGATAGGCCCGTTGTCAGTGATGGCGTTTGTAATCGCCAGCGTTAGCATGCTGTGCTCAGCGCTGTGTGTGTGTGTGTGTGTGTGTGTGTGTGTGTGTGTGTGTTGGGGGCCTTCACTGTAAGCTAATGAGAAAACTTGGGCTTTTCAGTTCTGTTACATGCATGCCCCCACATACGAGTGCATGGTCGAAAGGAGCTCTAGTGCTTGGTAATGGACAAACCAGGGTAAATCTGTCTGTCCTGCCTCTGCCCTCCATTCCCTCCTCATTAATATGTCTATCTCTGTATTTGAAGTGAGTGGCTACGTGGTATCGTTCTGGATCGTCTTTGTTTGTTTTTCGAGACTGTTTCTCTGCATAACAGTCCTCACTGTCCTAAAACTAGCTCTGTAGACCAGGCTGGCCTCGAACTCACAGAGATCCGCTTCCCGAGCGCTGGAACTAAAGATGTGCACCACCACTGCCTGGCCTGTGTATCATCTTTCTATCTGCTTGTATTCCCCTTTGTTTTGACCACTTACTTTGTACCTATCTAGTAGGTGGTAAGTAGTTTTCCGAGGTTTCCAGCTTTAGACCAGGGTTTGTCAGCCTGGATACTACTGACGCCTTAGGGCATGGGATTGGTCGTCTTCTCCCTTCTTCCCTTTTCCTCCTTCTTTCCTCTTCTTTTAGTTGGGGGAAGGGGAGAGGCTATCCTGTGCACAGTAGGATGTTTAGGAACCGTCCTATCCTGTCTACATAATGGAAATGTTTCTGGTCCTAACCCCCTTTGTTGAGACCTCTACCGAAGACCAGCAAGCTGAGGGGGCTCCCAAACTATTGCCTGCAAAAGTAATAATAACAATAACTGCAGAGATAGTTAACACTGCAGAGGTTAACATTGTGACATTGCAACATCCAAGCAGGTAGCGTGTCTGCATTGGATGCTTGGAGGCAGCCTGCTAAGTAACCATGCGTACGTACAGAGGCCTGCAACGAAGTAGAAACATCTGCTCTTTACCACCTACAAGTCAAGACTCACAGCCCCAGGCAGTTGAGGACGGCAGGATTTTTGTCTCTGATTTCATGAACAAAGACAGAAAAGCTGGGTAGTTTTAGTAAGGTGCATAGCCTAGGAAGTCCGTGGGAACCCAGGCAGTCTGCCCCCAAACCCTGAGCTCTCCGCTGCCTGGGTGACCCTAAGAGAAATGTTAATCTATCTTGCACTTACTGTATGGCCAGCACTTGGTTGAACACTTCTGGAGTTAAGCTTCAAGGAATCCTTTTAGCTGGGTTGTCATTTGTCACACTTTGTTGATGCAGAACATGAGGCTTAGTGTTGGAAAGTGATCATAGGACGGAGTCAGAGTCATCGTATAAACCCGGGTCTGAGGGTGACGCACACCTTTAATCCCAGCACTCGGGAGACAGAGACAGGTGGATCACTGTGAGTTCGAGGGCAGCCTGGCCTGCAGAGTGAGTTCCAGGAGAAAAATCTTTTAAGGTTGTTTTTGGGACCAGCCTGGTTACTGATGTGCCATGCAAGGGTGATGAATAGAGGAGCTTATCGAGCTCCAAGTGGATATGAATCCAAATGATATTGCATACCAAGAAATGGCTTTAATTAAGCTTTTCCTGTCTTCCTTTGTATTTTAAGAGAGACAGAGAGAGAGAGAGAGAGAGAGTGTGTGTGTGTGTGTGTGTGTGTGTGTTCAATGAGGCCAGAATTGGGTCTCGGATCCCCTGGGACTGGAGTTACGGGTATGGGTGCTGGGCCTTTGTTAAACACCATCTTAGTCTTAGATGAGCTAAATGCCATCCCCAGATAGCCCAGGTCAACTAAGTACATGGCCAGGTTTTTGGGTAGGAATTTCCAATTTCCTAAAGTCATGACTGCAACTGGACTTAAAATCCTCTTGCTCCATTGAACTCACCCTCTCTGTTTTGGAAAGGGCCTCAAAATAGTAAAGGGAAGGAAGCCTGCTTCTTAAGGCAGACAGACAGACAGACAGACACAGGACTGTGGACCTGCCCAGGAGTCAGTCCCGGCTGTGCTTGCAGAGGACCTCAGCTAGGTTCCCAGCACCTGTAAAGATCTTAAAATTACGTCTGGCCTTTTGGAGTTGTGGCATGTTCTCTTTGTCATTTTCTTTTTCTGTCCTTCCTCCCTGACGCCAAGAAAAGAAGCCCTTTGTGCGTAAGAACTGAGCTCAGAGGGTGTGATGGGCGCAGGTGGGACAGACAGACAGGCACAGATGCTCTGAAATGACAGTCTTGAAGGTAGTCAGGTCTTGGCTTGTCAGAGGGACCTGGACCTTGACCAGCACCGCCATAGTCAGGCCCAGGCCCACACACTTGGAACTAAGTGTTTGTGAATGCGCCTGCACTTACTAAAGGTCACACCATTTTGAAGCCACAGAAGCTTGCTGCGGCTAAGTTAAGCGAGTGGCTTATGTTAGTGCCTTCAAGCTCAGTCCACTTGTACATCCCTTTCTTCCCTGAGCTCTTAGAATGTTCTAGAAATGCTGTACTCTCACAAAAACACAACTGGGGGCTCAGCAGTTGAGAGCACCAGCAGCTCTCGAAGAGGCCCTGGGTTTGATTCCCAGCACCCACATGCCAGCTCAAACTTTTGTAACCTTAGTCCCAGGGATCCTGACACCCCCCCCCCCCCCGCACCCTAGGGACATTTGCAGGCACCAGGCACCCACGCGGTACACACCCACCCCCACACAAAATACATTTTCTGTTTGTTTTTCAAGACAGGGTTTCTCTGTGGTTTGGAGGCTGTCCTGGAACTGGCTCTTGTAGACCAGGCTGGCCTCCATCACAGAGATCCACCTGCCTCTGCCTCCGAGTGCTGGGATTTAAGGCGTGCCCCACTAAGTTTTAGAAAAATAAACACAATTCAGACCTGGAGAGATGGGTTAGAGGTGAAGAGTGTTTCCCTGAGTTTGGTTCCCAGCACCCACTCGGTGGCTCACAACCGCGGGCAATTCTAGTTCCAGGGGTTCCAGTGTCTCTTCTGGTCTCTGCAGGTACCTGTACACACACACACACACACACACTCACTCTCACCTTTACACACACACACACACACACTCACTCACACTTACCTTTATACACAGTCACATTCACACTCATCTTTACGCACACACTCACCCTCATCTTTACACACACGCACTCACACTCATCTTTACACACACACACTCACTCACCTTTATACACACAGTCATATTCACACTCATCTTTACACACACGCTCACACTCATCTTTACACACACGCACTCACACTCATCTTTACACACTCACTCACACTCATCTTTACACACACACTCATTCACACTCATCTTTACACACTCACTCACACTCATCTTTACACACTCACTCACACTCATCTTTACACACTCACTCACACTCACCTTTACACACTCACACTCACCTTTACACACACACTCACACTCATCTTTACACACACTCACTCATCTTTACACACACTCACACTCATCTTTACACACACTCACACTCATCTTTACACACACACTCACTCACACTCATCTTTACACACACACTCACTCACACTCATCTTTACACACACTCACACCCATCTTTACACACTCATCTTTACACACTCACTCACACTCATCTTTATACGCACTCATCTTTACACACTCACACTCATCTTTACACACACTCACACTCATCTTTACACACACACTCACACTCATCTTTACACACACGGGCAGTTAGTTGGGCCAGCAAGATGGCACAACAGGTAAAGGTGTTTGCTGCTAAGCCCAGTGACCTGGATTTGATCTCAGGGACACACATAGAAGGGAACAGACTCCTGGAATTGTTTGTTGACCCCTGTGCTTGCATAGGCACACACAAAATACAAGTTTTTAAAGTCATGGCGTTTTGGTGAGAAGCCCCCTAGTCAAGATTCATCCAGCCACTGAACTAGCGGCTTATTCATCAACTCTTCAAGCTTTAAAGGTGAGTGGCCTGCCGGCTCTCATCTCCTGTAGTCTCAGGCAGAATCTAGAGGACCTTTTCCCCCAACTAACCCGATCACAGTGGTCCTTGCCTTTCAGGGGCCTTTCTCAACGGTTAGTGCTAGACGGGCCTGGCAGATGCCTCAGTAAGAGCTCTTAGCCTGAGGACGCAAGTCCCAGGCCGTAGGACGCACACAAAAAGCTGCACATGGCTGCCTGGGATGGTTACCCCAGCATTCGGGGACAAAGGACTTGCTGGCTGCTCAGCTAACCCAGCCAAATCCAGCAGTTCTAGGTTCGAGGCAGTAAGGTGGAGGGCGACAGAGGAAGAGGCCTGACTTGCGTTGGCCCTGCGTACACGTGAACGGGTTGTACCCTTGCGAATTAGTGAGCAATCAGTGTAGCTTCCTTTGTTGTGTGCGTGTCCCTGTGTCCCTTGGCTTCCTTCTCTGGCTGCCTCCTGATTCTCAGTGTGCCTTCCCTGATGCCCGCCTACTTGCCACACGTGCTGGGCTTATCCTGGCTCCCAAGGCCCTTGCTTTTCTGACCCCTGAGTTGTGTCTCACAAGGAGCTCAGAGCGAACATTACCTCAGGCGCTCTGCCCCTCCTGCCTGCTGCTGCCCAGCCTCGCCTGCCATGTGGTTCTTCTTGGATTCAGGCTGTATGAAGAGAGTCGCGTTTGCTTCCCCATATCTGTGGAGTGACTTGAGGGTGCCTGTTGATGGCTAGTCCTGGCACCCAGCCCAGTAAGCTCCCTTTTTCCCAGGAGCAATTGGAAAAGCACCGTCTCTTAAATGAAATCGCGGAGCCTGAAACTTGCACACGGTAACCTGTTTTCCCTTTGCAGTGTTGATGGGGACCATTTTTAGCATCCTGCTGGTGACTATCATCCTTATGGCATTTTGTGTCTACAAGCCCATGCGTCGCCGGTGACAGCTATACAAGATCTTCGTGCTTCAAGTTTCCGGGACAGCAGAAGTGTTGCATGTGAGCCACTGGAGATGGTGGGGGCATGTCTAGGGAGTGACCACTGATCTGGACGGTGGGAAATGCTACAGGTTAGAAAAGCATCTAGCAGTAATTGTTTCCTTAACCTCGGTTATTGGCTACCGAGTCCGTGTCTTGGTGTTTCTTTTTGTTTGGCTATGCTGGTTAAAAGTAAAGCCTGAAGCCCCAAGGTTCCCTGTAAAATGTGTCCATTTGAAAGTGCCCAGAAGAACCGCGCTGGAGAGGACTGATGATGGATGCTGGAAATAGTAAGGAAGACTTAACATGTAGACATCCCTGCTTTCAACCTTTGTGTTACGGTGTGTTAGTCACACGTGGGGGCTAGCAAGATGGCTCAGCAGGTAGAGGGGCTTACCCCCGAGCCTGGTAACCTGAGTTCAATTCCTGGAAGTCATATGGTGGGAGGAAAGGACCAACTTCATAGGTTCCCTCACCTCCTCACATGAATAAATATAAAAACAAAGCCCACATTCCCACTCGACTGAGCTGCCCTAGAATACCCTGGTTGCCGGAGCCAGTGTTCATTGTGGGGAACCGAGCCCATCATTCCTTGGCTGCATCCGCACTGTGCGTGAGCCCGCAGCGGAGCCAGAATTGTATCCTAGGTGTGTAAGCACGCGCCTCTTGGCCTGGGAGGCTCTGGGCTGCACTGGGAATGCTACTGTCTTATCAGGACAGCTCCACCTGATCCGAACTTACTGAGGTCTCTCTCACCCACAGCCTAAAGCTTTTGGTAGCTTTTCAAACGGGAACCTGAGAGACTGAACACCCCTCTTCTCCCTGGGTGTAGAGGTTATCCCCACGTCCACTGTGCAGGCTGCTGTGTTTACAAGATTGACAGCTTTTCAAGTGCTGCTACTGAACTAGATTTCCCCTGTTGATACTTTTCATAGTTATAGAGAGGTCATTAGTATTTATTTTAAGGATGCTAGATTTAACTTTGTGATAAAATTGTTGTAATGTTTAATCTTGTGTTCCCCACAAGCACAGCCTGGTTTTTTTTTTTTTTGTTTTATAATCTAACAATGTGTACTTGATGCGGATTAACTGAGGGAGAGCATTGTAACTGTTGGGGTCTTGTCTGTGACCTTGTGACACTGAGCCATTAAAATGTCAAAATTAAAGAGAAACCCAGTCTGCTCTTTTACTCACCATTATACCCCAAGTGTTTACAATGCAGGGGTGGGGCTGTTCAGATGGCACAGGGTTAGGGGCATTTGTTACTTTTTGTAGAGAACCCAGGTTTGGTTCCCAGCACCCAGGTGGTAGCTTGCAGCCAACCTCCTATAACTCCAGAGTCAGGGGATCTGACACCCTCTGCTCACCTGGTGGACACCAAGCATACATGTAGCCAGCAGAGGCATAGTCTTTTAAAAACTCAATGCAGGGGTGTGGTGTGTGTGGTGTGATGTGTGTGGTGTGTTGTGTATGTTGTGTGTGGTGTAGTGTGTGTGGTATGTTGTGTGGTGTGTGGTGTGTGGTATGTGTGGTGTGTATGGTGTGTGTGTATGGTGGTGTGGATGTGGTGTGTGTGTGGTGTGTGTGTGTGGTGTATGGTGTGGTATGTATGGGTGTGGTGTGTGTATGGTGTGTGTATGGTGTGTGTATGGTGTGTGTGTGTATAGTGTGTGGTGTGGTGTGTATGGTGTGGTATGTGTGTGCGTGGTGTGTGTGTTTGTGGTGTGTGTGGGTGTGGTGTGTTTGACTCTGGCCTCATTCCTTTAAGGAAGACCTGTGTAGTGGGATTTAAGCTCGGTTGTGAAATAGCAAGACTGAACCAGACGCTCTCAGGCCGGGACAGCAGTCCTACATCTTGGTTCAAGACCACTATAAGGCGCTCACCCTCTCCAAAGCCTCAGTTTCCTTAGCAGTAACGCTGATGCCTAGCCGACATAAATGCTGAGCTGTAGGGGCCACAGTTGGGCTGCTGTCTCCAGGAGGTCCATGTTAATGCCGTGACGGATGAGGGACATGTGGCACTTCCATGTTAATGCCGTGACGGATGAGGGACATGTGGCACTTCCATGTTAATGCCGTGACGGATGAGGGACATGTGGCACTTCCATGTTAATGCTGTGACTGATGAGGGACATGTGGGCACTTCCATGTTAATGCCGTGACGGATGAGGGACATGTGGGCACTTCCATGTTAATGCTGTGACGGATGAGGGACATGTGGCACATCCATGTTAATGCCTGTCTTAATGTGCCACTATTATACTTGTTGCCATTTTCAAGATTTTTAAAAGAGCAAACCCTTGCCAAGTCTATAATGCTCGTTATTGTCCTTAGCTTGGTGATAACCAGCCAGCTGTGTAGGCATGGATGAGTCCCAGGGCAAAGAATTAGACCAGAGACGCCCGGTTGAAGTGGAAATCGCGGCTGGACAGATGGCTCAGCAACTAAAAGCATAATTGCTCTTCCAGAGGACCTGAGTCCATTCCCATCATGTACATCAGGCTGCCTCTCTGACTGCTGCAGAGCCAGAGCCCCTGGCTTCTGAGGAAACCAGCACTCTGCAAACCCTCCCTCCCTCCTCAGACGCACGACTAAGTGTTTGTCTAAGACAAATAGAAATTGCCAGGCCTGGTGGCACACACCTTTAATCCCAGCACTCAGAAGTGGATGGTCTCTTACCTTAAATTGGGTCTACACAGATGGATCCTATTTCAAGATAAATAACTTAATGAAAGGGAATGCAAGGCTGTAAGGAATGGTGGTCACCTGTGTAGCCACTCAACCATGACCAGTGCAAACCACAGCTGTTGGCAAACACTTTTTAAAGGTGTGTATGTATTTATTCATTAATCTGTGAGTTTGAAATACCTGTCTCTTAAAATTGCATTCACGTTCTCATGCTGCTTGCGGTCTGGGGACTCTGGAGCACTAGTCACATGGCTTCTAGCTGGACTTCTGTTTAAACCCACACCTGTTTCTAGACCCTGGGCTAGGTAGCACTTTGACATCCATCACAGTTCATTCACCTCTCTTGATGTCATCACGGTCAGGGGAGCCTGAGGCCAAGCTGCTGCTTGTGTGTCCCTGTCACTGTTGAAAGCCAGCTTTCCCTCCACACATCCCTTCATGTGGCGTCACAAGACTAGAACAGTCTCTCAGAAACTCGGTACCAGCGGAGCTCCCGGGTAGAAGTGACTGGAGTGTGAGCCTCGGTGAGCTATGCGGTGGTGGTGTGAAGCAGTCCACAGACCGTACATTCTTACCATGGCCTGCAAGGGGGTGCTCATGGTGCTCGGGCTCAAGCACTGCCTACTCCCCAAAGGCAGCTGCTCTTCCCGTGTTCCTTGAACAACAAAGCCCCTTCTAGAACCCCAACTGTTATCCAGCCACTGCCTTTTTCTTTTAAGGCCCAATTTTCACTTGAATGCCTTAAAAGTTGCCCCCAGCACCCTGGCTTCCAGGGTCAGCGGGGTTGATGTTTGCCCGTTTCCTGTTCTTCCGCACAGCAGCACACTTTCAAAAGTGCACGAAGAGGATCCAAACCGCCCAACGCTGGATGCTGTGCATTCATGTCCACCTGGCATGGGTGAGGAATGCTGCCTGTGCCTGGGCGGGCAGGCAGGGGGCGGGCTGGGGGCAGGAAGGCTGGGGGCGGGCAGGGGTGTGCTGCTTGGTAAAGGGCAGGCACTGTCAACAGGGATTTCGTGTTCCTGCAGTGACAGCAGGAAACACTATGAAGAGAAGGACTCTGGCTGCCAGGACTCTGGCACCCTCTGTGGAAGCGCATTTATTTGTGTTTTAATAAACAGATAACACGGGGAAAGCTGTGACAATGCTCAGTCCCTTTTTAGGTGACTTCCTGGGGACACTGTCAGACTTCAGGAGAGTGGAATGCAAACAGGGGTTAGCTGGGGTTCACACGGCATACAGCCGCCATTCCAGAAAGGGCCTCTGCTCCTGGCAAACGCCAAGTAAACAGACTGCCAAGCTGCAAATGGGATGGCCATACTGGCCTTACGTACAGGGAAGGAATTTGGTTAGACCACGACAAAAGGCAGATGGCCATGAGGAATTAAAATCACAATTCTTTTTGTCTAAGAACATTTTACTGGCAACAGTGACATTTCTGGGGACCGTGGATTCTCTTCCTGTCCCCAGAGGAAGCATAACAGGAAACAGACGCAAAACGGGAAGGTAATTTACCGTGTGATCAGCACAGCCTGTGGGGGAATGCCTGCACCGAGTGATAGGTGCAGCGTGCCCTTGGCTGTGTTCCCCAGGGGCGGTCTGTTATGCAGTAGGTATTTACAGGAGGGTTAGACAAAATAGTTAACTACTAAACGTATCCAAAAAAGGCCTGAGAAAATCTGGTTAAATGCATAACCTTGTATTGCTACTGATGGGAGTAGTCATTTTTATATCTTTTAAAAATAATAAAAAGATTCTGTTAAAAAATATATTTATCCAGAAAGACGTTGCTTTGAACTCTAAAAAGCAATGAGGAGTCGTCACTTTTCCCTTTTGAATGAAGAGCCTCTACTCCATGTTAGCTCCCTTCTGGTTTCAAGTCCATCGGGTCCTCTCTAACAACGCTAGGCCATGTGCTGGCTCTCCCCGGTGGGAAATCCTTCACAGGAGCAGGCAACGCCACAGTGGCTAGGTTCTCTGCTGTCCAGTGGTTTGGTCAGCTTGCCTGCTATGAGAACCAGCCATGGATTCCCCTAGCTGACACTCCAAGGACAGGATTAGCTGCCTTCGGTTTAGCCTGGAGGATGCTGCTCCCAAAGGAACTCCCTTATGGACTCAAATCAGGTCCTCAATGTGTGGAGCGAGGTGGCTGGAAACTATTAATAATTTTTAAGGCTAAGGCAACATCCGTGGTCATTTGTATATCTTAATTTGATGCAAATAGTTAGCCATAATCTAAAATAGATCCTGTACATATCCTCTTAGCTGGGGTAAAGGGCGTG